CAAAAACAAAATCCACCACCACCAATAAAGCCCAAACAATCATTTGATCATATATTCCAATAGCTTTGATACTTTTATTACTGAGGATTTATGGTGAGTTGAAATCAGGTGGTGTTTGTCTCCAGTTTTGTTCTTAAAGATCATGTCACCAGAGCTGGAGAGATGGTTCAGCGGTTAAAAGCAGGGCCATTCTTGCAGAGGACCCAGGTTCAATTCCCAGCATCCACATGGCGGCTAACAACTGTCTCTAACTCCAGTTCCAGGGGATCCGGTGATGCTCTCTTCTGGCCTCCACGGGCATTGCAGGACATGGGTGCACTTATATACATACACATACAATAAAAATAAAATATTTTTAAAAGATTGTTATCACCTGTACTCTTTCTTTTGCATCATTAAGTTTAAAAGTTGGTGGCGCATGCCTTTAATCCCAGCATTTGGGAGGCAGAGGCACGCTGATCTCTGTGAGTTCAAGGCCAGCCTGGTCTACATAGTGAGTTCCAGGACAGCTGGGGCTACAGGGAGACCCTGTCTCGAAAAAGACCAGAAACAAAACAAAACAAAACAAAACAAACCAACTTGCTGATTTCTGCAGTGTCTTACTGAGAAAGTAAATTACATTTGTTGGGTTTTAGCACATGCAGGCATAGGAAAGAAATACTGCCCAGATAATGTCATTAACCAAGAGCATACTAGAAATGATCCAGGTGTGATGGCATGGGCTGCTTGGGAGGCTAAGGCAGGAGAATCATTGAGCCTGGGAGCTCAAAGCCAACCTAGGTGGTCCAGTGAGATCTGGTCTAGAGAAGAGAAGAGCAAAGAGGAGGAGAAAAAGAGGGGGAAGGGAAGGGGGAGAACCCCAGGCTCCATGCTCAACAGGTTGTCCTGCACCTCATCTTGAAGTTTCCATGAACCTTGGAATAGCTTCGGAATGTCTCCTTCTCCCCACACCTGCTCTACAGGTGATCAGGGATGTAGTTTCCACTTTGCCAGGGATGTGCCCTGGCATGTGTTTATAGGTGCAGTGGGTTTAACTCTGGCAGCACAGTTGTGTAAGAAATGAGCTAACCCTGCTGTGACCAGATGGTCAGTCATCTGATCCTAGTTTATACCCTGGAGTGAAAGAAAATTAAATCCCCTCCTTGCTCAACCTAGGGGACTTACCCAAGGTGTCCTTAGCAGTGGCCACCAATACCTGCCACTTGTTGGAGCTAGTGACACTTCACTCTTAGTCATGTACCTAGCTGAAACTGGATCCACATCCCTGGGGACTGTGTGACCATGGCTTCTACCCTTAGGGGGCCTTCCCCCTCAAAATGTTGAAATTTCCATTGAATCCTATCCTTCCCTTCTTAGAATTCTACCACTTCCCATTGAGCTGAGGAATGTGCTCAGCTTTCCTCAGGGTCTGTCTTGTGTTCTGTGTAACTAGGGTCAGGTTGGTCCCTACCTCAGGGCATTTATACTTGCCCCTCACACTCCTGGAAAGTCTTTCTCTTGCTCTCTCTCTTTAAATAGTTCATTATTTTTATCTTATGTGTATGAGGTATTGCCTGCATTTTAAGTGCACCTGTGTAATGCAGAGCCTGCGGAGGTCAGAAGAAGGCATCAGATCCCCTGGAATTGGAGTTTTGGACGGTTGTTGGCCACCATGTGTGTGCTGGGAACTGAACCCAGGTCCTCTACAAGAGCAGTCAGAACTCCTAACCACTGAACCATCTCTCCAGCCCCTCTTGGTCTCTTATCAGCAATTGTCCCTCTGGCCCCTACTCCCATCATAGCTCCCTGTCCTCCCCTCTCCAAGGCAGTATGCACTGGCTGTTTGCTGTGAGCCTCAGAGAGTTGAATTTTCCTTCCTGGGAAGGTGTATACAATTTCAGTTGTCACAACTGGTGTGGGGGTGGCTGCTGGCATCTAATGAGTGAACACCAGGGACACTGCTCACCATTTGCATCTCCATCTGCATCTCCATATAAGGAAAGAAAGGTTTATTGTCAGGAATTGGCTTGTGTAACTATGGAGGCTGACAGGTCTCAGAGACAGCAGGGAAGCAACAGTGAGTAGACAAACCAATGGCATTTCCAAAGGGTGACACTCCAGCAAGAGCATTTGTTTCAGTTCAAGTCCAAAGGCTTAAAAGATCCGAGGCATGCAGTATTTAACCTCTTTCTCGGTGTTTCTGTTACATTTGGGCCTTCAAACTGAGAGCTGAGCCCCCTCTGTGTGGCTTGGTTCAGTGTTGTAGTCTGAATGTTTGTACTTCTTAGGTTTGTGTATCCTGCCCCCCAAGGTGATGGTATTAGGAGATGGGAGCTCTACGAAGACATTCGGGTCATGGGTGTGGAGCATCATGAATGGGGTCAGTGCCCTGATGAGAAGCTTGAGGGGACTGACTCATCCTTTTGACAGTGTATGGGCACAGACAGCACTGTCTCTGAGGAGCCCTGTCCACCTTGATCTCAGACTTGGGCCTCTAGAATTATGAGAAATTTGGTTGTTTATAAGCCCCCCAAGTCTGTGACATTTGAGTATAGCAGCCTGGGTGGTTAGTTAATACAAGCAGCCTACCACCTCATTCAGAATATGTCCAGAGGATAAGTCTCACAGGTGGCAATGTCTGGGCACCCATGGCCCAGTCATGGTGGCACAAATGAACCCTCACACCATCCTACAAAAACCACAACAGCCTTGAGCTATTAGAATTCTCCAGTCCAAGCGTCAGGAGTCCTAAGACTTAGAAGCTCTGGTCTAGAGTAGAATTTATCTTGATCCAAAGATATGTCCAGGAATGAGTTTCTAGGAAAAGGTATTTGCATATTTATTATTTTGTGGTACTGGGAATCAAATCTTGAGCCTTAAATCTGGTAGGCAAGGGTTCCACCACTGAGCTACACCCCCAGCCCCTGTCGATGTTATATTTTAGTAGATATTGTCATATTTCTCCCAGAAAGATTGCACCTGATGAGCCAGCATTTCACAGTGTCTAAGGAACCTGGGAGCACCAGCATTCACTGTTCTCTGCTTCTCTGAGTGGGGATGCAGTATGATCAGCTGCCTCCATCCTTCCCTGCCATGATGAACTGTAGTCCCTCAGACTGTGAGCCAAATAAGTGTTTCTTCCCTAAGTTGCCTTTTGTCATCCATCTGATCACAGGAAAGAGAGAAGTAATTAATAGCCATTGTGAGGTATTTATACTTTATTTTTTCTTATAGAGAGAAATATAAGCAAGTCTTCCATCAGCAAGTCTAAGAGCTATATAGCCTAATAACGTGAATTGTTACCTATTTTTTCTTGTTGCTTTATTGAAGCAGGATGTCACATAATTCAGGCTGGCCTTGAATTTGCTATTAGCTAAGGCTGGCCTGATCCTCCTGCCTCACGACCCAAGTGCTGAGATAACAGGCATATGTCACCATGCCAAGCTGGGTTAGATGTTTTTTTTTGTTTTTCTTTTTTTTTTTTTTTTTCGTTTTTTTTCTTTCTTTTTGAAGGAGGGTCTCCCTGTAGCCCAGCTGTCCTGGAACTCACTATGTAGACCAGGCTGGCCTTGAACTCACAGAGATCCGCCTGCCTCTGCCTCCCAAGTGCTGGGACTACAGGTGTGCGCCACCACACCAGGCTTTAGCTGTTTTCTAATTATTTTTGCAATGTAGTTCACTGGCTACTGACATGGAGCTGCTGAGTCATCATGGCTTTGCTGGGTCCACACATTGTTAACCTGAGGTGGGTCCATTTGGACAGTGGATTGTCCACTGAGGCAGCAGAGAGGGAACATCATTTCCCTGGAGCAGGGGCTCATAGGAAGGAAGGGGAACTGGGTCTCAGGCACCCCCAAGAGGTCCCCTGGATAGGGAGGTTCCCTAAAAGCAGTCCTAAACCTGACCCTCACTTTCCTTCTGTCTGCACAGTCCCACCTCTAGTTTCTATCCTGGGGGACATAGTTTCTCCCTCTTGGTCCGTCATATAGGAGCATCTTCCTAGAGCCAGTTGGAGCTGGGGAGAGTTGACTCAGTTCCAGCTTCTGGGCAGCCTTATCTATTCCTGCCCCCTCAGTTCTAGTCTGGAAGCATCCTATGGCCCAGGTCTTTGCTATAAACTGGCTCCAGTCTGTTCCTCCACCTTTGGGCACCTGCCAGCTGTTTCCTTAGAGTCTGGAAACCACCACTGGGTAGCCTGGAGGTCATGGGCACCAGCATTCTCTCTGCACATGCAATACTGTAACAACACATACAGTTTCTCTCAGGTAAAGGGGTGTGTGGCTCATACTGGTTAAGCCTGCCCTACACTACACTCTACACTCTGCCCACAGCACTTGCATGACCTGGTGACTCAGGAAACTTCTGGTCTCCTGGGATTTTCAGCCACTGTTCCTAGGATTGTCTCTAAGGCAGGGCCCCTCCCTTACCCACCCTTGTAGGCTACTCCTGCCTGCCTCTCAGGAGTCTCCAATCAGGAGTCCTGTGCTTCCTGCCCTCCTTTCCTCCAGTCCTCTGGGGCTTTGCTCCTTCATCAGCTCTTTCTGCACAAGGCCCTACCCCAGACTAAGGACCTCCATCCCACCAGGTCTTGTCTACGCTTATTCTCTGCCTCTACAGTTAGCCCCAGCCTGGTGGTATCAGTGGCTCCCCTCTGCCCAGTTCCAAGCATACCTCCTGGTCTTTTTCTCAGGCCTTTTTCTTCAGGTTCCAGTGAACCTGAAGCCGAGGGGTGCTTGTGTCCCTTTAGCCAAGCCAAGGGAATATGCCCTAGTGTTTGAGGGTCCTCTTCAAGGCTTCCAGGGCTGGACCCACCCTGGCCTGTGGGGCTGCTGTGCCACTTAAGAATGGTCTCTTTTCACTTGCTGCTTTTCAAAGCACCAGAGTTTGATCCCCAGCACCCATGTCAGGCTCACAGTTGCCTTCAACTCCAACTCCAGAGGATCTGACATACTCTTCTGATCTCCACAGGCACCTGCATGAATGTGTTCATACTTACATATAAATAAAAATAAAATATCTTGGCCAGGCGTGGTGGCGCATGCCTTTCATCCCAGCACTTGGGAGGCAGAGGCAGGCGGATCTTTGTGAGTTTGAGGCCAGCCTGGTCTACATAGTGAATTCCAGGACAGCTGGGGCTACAAGGAGACCCTGTCTCAGAAAGACAAAAAATAAATAATAAAATATCTTTAAAAAAGAATGGTCTCAGGCTGGACAGATGGCTCAGCAGCTAAGAGCTCTGGCTGCTCTTGCAGAGGACCCAGGTTCTGTTCCCGGCACCCACACAGCGGCTAGCAACCGTCTGTAACTCCAGTTCCAGGGTATCCACCATTACCCTTTTCTGACCTCTGTGGGCATTGCATGACACGAGTGCACTTACGTACATGCAGGCAATGCATTCATACACATAAAATAAATTAAAAATAAATAATTAGATGCCTACCTGCCCTTCTCCCAGGTCTTGCCTGATAGTGCTCCTGTTCTCTGGATTCCTTCTCGTCACTGCATCACTTTCTGTTTGTTGAGGCACTGGCATTCCTTCAAAGCTTTCATTAGCAGCTCTGGCCAGGGCTGGAAGACCATGTGGACATGTTCATCCATACTCTGGGTATCAGCAGAGCATGGGTGCAGACATGCATGGCCCAAAGCAAGAGAGTTTAATTCCATCCATCCATCCATCCATCCACCCACCCCCTCATTCGCTTTGTGACTGTTGTTGTTTTGTGGTGCTGGGGATGGAACCCAGGGCCTTGTGAAAACACTGAACTACACCTCCAGACCCCCTCATTCTTTTTATTTTTTTAATACTTGAGATGTAAAGCATTACAAACTCCAGTGAATTTGCTGTATACTCCCTCCCCCATCCTGAGTTCAGGGTTTATCAGTGGCTCCATGTGTAGTTCTTCCTGACTGCATGTCCAGAGGTGTCATATGATGATCATTTGCAGGACTCTGCTCTGTATGAGTGATATCACACCACAGTGCTGGAGTTCTGAGCTATTTTTCTTTTTCTGCTCTCAGCCTTGTGTTCCTGTAACTCATTGTGTTTATAAGTAAATACCAAGTACACTTTAACTGTTGCATGTATGATTTTTTTGTGACTTCATTGTATTCATTCTTCCATTTTTTTTCCTGCGGATGGATATATCTTTTAAACTTTTGTGTGTATATATGTGGGTAAGTGTATGGGGCATATACATGCCACACAGCACATGTAGGGAGGGAGGTCAGAGGACAAACTCTGGTGTCAGTCTTTTCCTTCTGCCTTGTTTGAGACAAGGTCTCTTGTTCGCTGCCATGTGCTCCAGGCAGGTGGCCCTTGAACTCCTGGATTCTCCTGTCTGCACTTCCCATCTTGCTACAGTAGCACTGGGATTACAGATGTGCTCTCTTGCATCTGGCTCTACGTGAGTTCTTGGGCTCAAACTCGGGTCCTCACACTTGTGCAGCAAGCGCTTTACCCATGGAGCCATCCCCCAGCTCTCTGATGGACGTTTAGATTGTCTCTTACTTCCTTTTTTGAGAAAGAGCTGACGTTCTTGTTCCCTTCCACAGGAGGGGGATGCCCTAGATTTTGCAGTCTGGGGTTAGCACACCTTACATTGTTCCACCTTACAGGAGAGACCCCGAGCTGTTTTCTACCATAGCCACAGCCAGACTTTACCATTTTTGCTGACTTCACAGGCTGGGAATGGCATTTCTCTGTCGCATAAGCAAGTGTTTCAGTTTTTGGTTTTGATTTTTACTTGGTTAGTTTCCACGGAAGCCTAGCATCATTGTTTTTTTTTGGGGGGGGTCTTATTTTTTGAGGCAGTGTCTTCCTGTAGCCCCAGCTGTCCTGGAACTCACTATGTAGACTAGGCTGGCCTTGAATTCACCTCCCTAGTGCTGGGATTAAAGGCGTGTGCCACCACGCCCGGCATCATTACATATTTTTATTGGGCTTTTAGATTATGTTCTGAATTTTGTGATCACTTTTCTCTTGATTTGCAAGTCTGTTTGAATGTTGAGTCCTTTATGTAATCTTTCTAATCATAGCACTATTTTTTTCATTTATTTATTTATAGCCTTCAAAGAGCAGCTTTAGGGGTGGGGAGATGGCTCAGTGGTTAAAGTACTTGCTGCACAAGCATGAGTACCCCAGTTTGTGTATAAGTGTATTGCCTGCATGTATGTGAGTGCACCCGTGTCAATGCAATGCATGGAGCTCAGAAGAGGACATCAGATTCCCCTGGAACTGGAGTTAAGGATAGTTCGTGGAGTTCTTTGTGTATTTCAGATAGCAGTCCTTTATCAGATATGTCTTTTTCAAATATTTGCCCCTACTCTGGTTTATTTTCTTGTTCTTTTGACAATGTCTCTTGCAGAGAAAAAGATTTTAAGAAATCCTATCTCTTCAATGATAGGTTTTTTTTTTCATAGATTAAACCATTGATGTTTTATGTAAAAGGTTATCGCTGACCCAGGTGTGGTGGCTCAGCACTAAGGAGGCAGAGGCAGGTGGATCTCTGTGAGTTAGAGCTGTACCTGCCCAGCTGCCCACCCATGTTTATGTGCCCCTGGAGTGCTGGAACACTGCCCCCTCAACCTCTGAATTTGGGCAAGTGGGTAAAATGATGGGCTCAACCAGGAGGGGGTTGTGACCATGCCACTGTGCCACACCCCAGTGCACCTCTCTTGTCCTGGGACTGTGCCTTCAAGTGGCCACTGCACAGAACACCCATGGTTGCCCCAGCCAGCAGCATCATCCATTGGCTGTCAAGGCTTGGATACGGTTTGTAACAGCAAGAGGAACCTGAGAACTCTACAGATTGGTGTAAGGCTGTCATATGAAGCTGTGAAACTTCCCGACTGCCACACAGAGAATCTTGGCTTGGAGGCCCATGAATCAACTGCTGCCTGCTGTGAGGACCTTGTTCCTGCTTTTACCCACAGTAAAACCCTCTGGGGAATCAAATTACTGGAGAATGTCTTGGACCACAGTGGGGTGAGTGAGCCGAGCAAAGGCCCAGAAACAGCCAAAGTGCAACTTGCATGCACTCAGGCTGAGAACTGACTTCGATGAAGAATCCCAAGCATCTCTGATCTGTGATGAAAAGAGAAATCCCTACTTGACAATCCTAAGTAGTGAGTAAGAGAAACAGAAAACAAATTCTGGCTGTATTCTGACTAAAAATCATGAATAATTATAAATTACGGACGTTCTAATGAGATATGATTGACACCCAATATAGATGGCATTGTGTAAGATGGATGGGGGTTCTTCTATGCTAAAAGAGGCCAAGAAATTGGGAGGGGGATGAAAAGGTGAGGGTGGGGATGGGGGAGGGGAGTCAGAACATAATCAAAACACATTGTATGAAATTCTTGGTTCAATACAAAATTTTAAAAAATTCCACCTGTAGATTCCTCTACCTTTATCATTTTCTTCTTTTTTCCTCCCTCCTTCCCTTTCTTCCTGTTGAGACAGTGTCTCCTGTGACTCACCCAGGTTGGCCTCAAACTTGCTACATAGTTGATAATGACTTTGAATTCCTGTTCCTCCCATCTCCACCTCTGAAGTGCTAGGGTTACAGCATGTGGAATATCACATTCAACTTGTGAAAATGAGAGCATCTTGATTACCTGCTTGAGACCTTTACAAGATTGGACCTGTTGATACTCCCTTATCTGAGCAGGGTGTGGAGATTCCGGCCACGTCCCTCCCATGTGCCACTCCCAGCTTTATGTAATTGGACTCCACTTGTATACAGTCTGGGGAGTATATAGGAGGGAAAGTTAAATCAAGGGATGTGGGAAACTCCATTTGTGCAGCCTTTAGGAAGCCGTCAGCTATACTGGGATGGGGCTAAGGTGGAGCAGCTGTGGTGGACTGGCCTCCATGAGGTGTGGAACAGCATGCCTCCTTATAGCAGTTGCACTGTCTCTGCTATGGGTGATAAGACATGGAACAGAGGCTGAGTTTTCTGCCCAGAGGGATAGTCAGGATGGAAAGTTCAAGGGACAAGTTCTAGTGTGTTACCTTCTTGTATGTCTGATGGAGGAGTGTGACTCCTTGACACATGTGGTCCACCAGGGGTATACTGGGATGTCTCTAAAATGGGTGATGGAGCTGGTGAGATGGCTCATAGGTTAAGAGCACTGGCTGCTCTAACAGACCTGAGTTTGGTTTCCAGCCCCTACCTGGTCACTACTACCTATAACTCCAGCTCCAGGGGAATTGAATGCACATGTGTACTTACATGCAGGCAAAACACTCATACCCCTAAAATAAAATAATTCTTTTAAAGCTGGCAAACAGAGATTATAGGCCATCCCTTCAAGTTGCCTGTATGGCATAAGATTATAAGGAAGCTGTGGCAGAAGTTGCATTGCCCTTGCTACTGGTGATAAGACATGTGGCAGGGCTCAGCTGTCTGTGCTAAATAGCCCCTTCTGGATCCAAGAAGTTGGAGCTCATTGGAAAGAATCAAATAGAGAGGAAGGAGAAAATTTGGTAGACAGGATAGTGAGGGAAGTGGACATGATGGACATGGTCTGGGATGCCCAATTCACTGGGCTGGATAAGACTGTTCACCAGAGAGTTACAGAATTTAGCACGGATGCCAGTACTGGTATGGGGATTTTGTAACCGCCAAGCCCTATGATGGGTCATGATCTTTATGAGGTAGGAGGGGCTTGGCAGATCTGAGTGATTTATACTGGCATGTAAATCGGGTTCATAAAATAGAAAGCAATCAAGAGGGGATGAGAAAAAACACATGGGTGCCATTCCAGGTCACTCAAAAGCAAATGTGGGCAAGTTTGTGTTGAGATGGATTTATACTGGCATGTAAATTGGGTTCATAAAATAGAAAGCAATCAAGAGGGGATGAGAAAAAACACATGGGTGCCATTCCAGGTCACTCAAAAGCAAATATGGGCAAGTTTGTGTTGAGATGGAGTTCTAGGGCAAAAATGGACAGAAAGCCAAATTCAGTGCTTATGTGTCTCTGAAGGCTTTAAAGCCTGAGCAATAATTCATTGAAGGAGTAAATGACAGTAGTACAGGTGAAATTGACTAGTCTTGTCCCAGTGGTGGGCAATTAGCCCCTCAGAGTGTGCTGTGTATGTTCTTCTCAGGTGAGAAAGTATAGTGGGGGTGGAGACTGTTTGCCCAGCCAGGCCCTTTCAGGAACCAGTGGCTAATGGAGAGGCAGCAGCCTCAGGGTCTGTTTGGTACCTGGTAGATGTAGGGAGCTGGTGGGCATGGGAGACAAGGGCACAGGCCCACCATGCCAATCGGGTCTCTGACCACCCCCCCAGCCCCCAGCATACACAGGCTGTTGCTACTGCTGTTCGTTGCCTGTCTGAACTAGATGGTTAGGCCCTATTGCTAAAGACACCACACACTGATTGTAGGACATGGAGAAATTAAATGACTATGCTGGAAGCTCCCTTTTGCTAAGTGATGTTTGGAAGTGCTGGGAGGTACTGTGCAAGCAGCTAGGAAAAAATTGTTGCCAGACTGTCTTCATCTGATGCCAGTGTCAATGTTATCAGCGTGTGTTGTGTGACAGTATCCCTGGGGAGACATGAACAACTACTCACCTCAGATATGGAACAGATCAAAGTAAATATACCATTAATCCAATGTGGTGAACCAATGAGTTTTATTTGAATTACAGAAAAATGGGTCAGGGGTTATTTACAGGAGGAGAAATGACCCAAACAGCTGTATCACCAATAGCCCACCTTAGTATGCATGACAACTCACAAAAGCACACTGTTTATCCAATAAGTTATTGTTTTCAGTCATGCAGGGAATCCTACTTTGTACAGTGAGTGGAGGTTACTGAGAATTACAACCTGCCAAGCTGCTGAGAATAAAGTGCCTGTGGCATAGTAGGAATAACCAGGCATCTGTATTACCTCCTCCAAGGCTCAGGGAGATGGTGATACAGCAGTAGAATGGAAAGAATGTAAGAGCCTAAGGGAGAAGTGGAGTACTGTGTGCCTGTCCTCAGGGCACAACATGGCCTTTGCTATCTGAATCAGAGCAGCCTGACTACCAGCAGGAGACACAGACCTTCAAAAGATTTGGTCTGTTGATATTTCCTCATAGAAGTGGGTGGGGCAGGAATTCCAGCCATTAAGTCTGTGCTCCTCCCCAGCTGGATGAGCTCTATCTAAGACGTAGAAGGCTAATTGAAGGAGGGACTCCATCTATGCAGTTTTCAGGAAGTACATCCATACTGGGATGGGACTTTACTGGGCTGCAGCTGTTTAGGGGTCACCTGTAAGTAACCCCTCATCTATGGTCCTATAAGAAAGTATGATCTGTAAACTCATTGGTTCACTAAGCTAGAATTGGGTATGATCATTTCTTTGGTCTGTGGTTGGCACCTTATCTGGAGTGAATAGATACTTGCCCAAGGAAGAGTTAATGCAGCAACTTAGTATCTATATTGGTTGTATTTTCTTTGTATACACAGGCCAAAGCAGTATTAAGTACTGTAGCAGACAATGTAGAAGCAAATGTGATGACCCACTTTTTTTTTTTTTTTTTTTTTTTTTTTGGTTTTTTTGAAAGCAGTATTAAGTACTGGAGCAGACAATGTAGAAGAAAATGTGATGACCCACTTTTTTTTTTTTTTTTTTTTCTTTTTGGTCTTTTTGAGACAGGGTCTCCCTGTAGCCCCAGCTGGCCTGGATTCACTATGGAGACTAGGCTGGCCACGAACTCATAGAGATCTGCCTCCCTCTGCTTCCGGAGTGCTGGGATTAAAGGCGTTCGCCCGGTGATGACCCACTTTTAAACAGTTACAAACTCATCAGTCATTTTTCTTTGTTGGCGAAGATGCAGCTGCTAAAATATGTAATGTTTGTTTTCAAAAGAAAAAATATATCTTAAAACATTTTCTTTAACTTATGTAATATTGAAACTTCTGACTATTGGGCTCTGAATCCTTTTGTTTTTCGAACAGTGCTTCACTACGTAGACTACTAGGCTGGCCTGGAACTGTAATTCTTTAGCCTCTGCCTCCTAAGTGCTGGTATTAAGGCGTGGAACGCCCGGCCAGGAAACATTTTAAAGAGCAACGCGGTCCTCCAGCGATCTGCTCTTTAAGGTAGCTCTACCAGGCAGTGCCATTCTCTTTTCTTCATCAAAAGACAAACTGAGGCCGCGGTTCTCCGCCTTACCGCGCAGAGCAGTCTCGTGCTCCACCTGCATCTCTGGATGTCACCAGGCAAAAGTGTCACGGTGAAGTTCCTTTGCCTAGCCGGGCCACATTTCCCCGCGTGACATGTGGACAGCAATGTTTTCACTTGTGGACAACACCTAAGGGTTGTGCCTGAGGTAATCCGGTGAGGGTGCATGTCCATTCTACAGACTTGACAGCGGAGGCTGTCACCCAGCGCCTTCCTACAGCTCCCTGACTGAGCAACCCCGGCCCTAGACTCACCGGCACGGAACAGACTGCACAACAGACTGGATCCCGGGCGCCGAAGAGCCTCCGACACTTCGCGCCAGCCTCACATCCGGGACCAGGTCCGGAAGCCTCCCTTCCGGTTCCCAAGACCGCGCTCCGGAAGTGAGTCACTCTGCCAACACATAAGATGGCCTCCGTCCCATCTATCGCCATGATGGATGGAGGTAAGGTGGGCGGGGACCCGGAAGTTGCCCGTTTGGGGCATGGCGGTCGTCGGGGGCGTGGCTTCCGGCCGCTCGAGGCTGTGAGTCGCCGCGGCGTAGAGCGCAGGCGGCGGCTGACAGGCGCTTTTCTCCAGACGGCTGCGGCGGGAGCCGGGTGAGGCGGGCGGGCTTTAGCTCGCTTCCCCGCGTCCCGGCCCGCGAGGCTCCAGGGCGCTGGGGTATGGACGAGGGGAAGATGGACGAGAATGAATGGGGATACCACGGCGAAGGCAACAAGAGTCTGGTGGTGGCCCACGCACAGGTGAGCGGCTGACGGTCGGCTCGGCTGCGGGCCTCACCCGACAGAGCCGGCAGTTCTGTCCCCCCACATCTTCCATTCTGGGTCGAGGCCGCTACCCCAGCGTCCCCTCAGGTGGTTCCCTTCGTACCCCCCTCAATAGGCTCCTCAGCTTCGTACTCGTCATACATACCCCATCTCCATTGGGCCCCCTTTCCAGTCCTCAGTAGTCCTTCCCACGCCCTGTCGGGGCCGCGTGGCCTCATGCTGTGCAGCCTCCGCCAGGATGCTCATCTTACTGCCAGGCCACCGTGGGCAGCCTGGACCAGGGCCTGGGCAGCACTGGGGGAAGTGCTTAGAGTGCTGTCACTCTCACCATGGAGTTTAGCCTCGTGAGGTGACGGAGCTGCTGTTCTTCCCACTGCTGCTGTTAATAACCCGGCGCTGCCCACAGGTTCGCCTCCAGAATCGTTTAGAATTTAAACAATTTCCCCCTAATTCGACTAGAAGGGAAATTTGAGAAACTGCAGTGACTCTTAAGGAGGTGAATCCAGAATATGGATTCGTGCGCAGCCCCAGATTTCTCTGACATCTTACAACCTAGCAAGAATGTGGTGGGCTGGGGGAGTAGAAGGCGGGGAGAGGGTTAGACACCCGGAGCCGGGACGATTCCTAGTTCTGCCACTGCCCAGCGGAGGATCAGTGGTTGCATTTAGAAAGTGAAGCTACAAATAGCATGAACATTGTAGAATTGGAAAGATCGGCTGAGCAGGAGCTGGACAAGTTATGCTTGGCAAGTGATGCCTGGCAAGTCATCTTCTTGGACGTCTGAAGCAAGCAGAATGGAGGTCAGTGCTCTGCCCCATCCAGCACTGTAGGGATTGTGCAGGCAATGGAATCCAATTGCCCATAAGTGCAATTGGAGAATCAAAGGAGTGAGACCACAGGTTCTATTCAAGATCTGAAGGTGAGTTAATAATGGACAATAACCTGAAGCTGCCCTTAACTGCTGAGAACTGATAATATTAAGTTTTAAAAAGTAGTGGCAGATGAAGGAGCAAGTTCCAGATTGGAGTAAAAGGACACTCAAGCTTGGACAAGCAGAGGCTTTCTCGACATTACCTCTGGCACTTGGATATCTCTCCCACGGTCCCTAACAGATGCATGCTTACTTGTGAACAGGCACGGCTGGAGGGCAGTCTGGGTCCTTGCTTGTGGTACAGTTCTGTTGTTAATGGTTATGTTTCTTTTTATGTTTACCTTTTTAAACTTTACTTCAGCTATGGGGCTGTTTCAGATTTATGCAAACCAAACAAACAATACTTTCTTTTTTGTAATGGTGGGGGTCAAACGAAGGACCTCAGGCATGCTGAGCTATACTTCCTAGCCCTCATTCTTTATTTTAAATCTAAATTTGCCCTTTTTTGCTCATTCTTGCTTGGTGGTGGTTTTAGCTCATCGTATGAAAAATTTGGAAGATTATCACAACAAATAAGTTTCATAAGAAAATATTTACCCTGAAGTTAAGATTGCATGGAGGTGTACTGAATGTTGAGCAGCCTGGGGAAGCCTTTTGCTTGGCTTGGGCCTTGAGTGTAGCTGCCATCTCTGCCTTACTGGTATATTTATTCAGACTGTGGATGGAGGAGGGAAGAGCTACTTCTGGAAGGCAAATTTCAAGACCTTCTGTGACCAAGAGAGAGACTCCTTACAAGTGGGATAGAGAGAAGGTGGCGGTGTGGGGACTAGAGGACTCCCTGCTCTTTTTGGTGCTGGGCAGGTCTCTAGCCCCCCCTTCCTCCCTGAGAGCACATGCACCTTACTTCTCAGGCCCTCCTCATCCAGTCTAGGAGAAAGGGATGCCTTTACCAAGTCCATCTAGGCAGGGTCACTTTTACTGAGATGGTACCAACTACTCTTGAGTTGAAAAGACCTTATAAAGTTCCCTCTCAGCCCTTCTCTTCTGTAGCATGTGTATATATACAGCATCCTTAAGCCCTGTCCTGCAGGAGCTGAGGGTACAGGTGACATCTGCACTGTCAGTGACCCACAGCTCTGGAAAGAAACATGGTGCTGCTCCTTCTGTTTGTTGCCAACAGGGAACGAGAGAAAAAGAACCTTCTGTAGTGTATAGGTTTTGGGAGTCTGGGGGTGGAGGAGCTCAGGGGAATGCTGTAGGAGCATGTAGGACATGCCCAGGGTGGGCAGGAAGGTGAATAACAGGCCAGTGCATAGAGAGTAGTTCTGTTTCCTACTCTCCTACCCCTAGGGGCAGTCCCAGAAGGTTCCATTGTTACTTGCCAGTCTTGAGTTCCCATGATTTATGACATCAATGCACTTTGTCCATTCTTGGGGCAGCAAGAATGTTCCCTGCCCACCTGATACAGACCTCTGATTCACTTGCCAAGTTGTCAGCAGCCAGGTCTCTATCTTGTCTGCAGCCACAGGCATGGACTCTGAGGGGACTCTTGGGCAGGGACTTGCTGCATCTGAGAACAGCTTTCCTCTTTATAGCCTGAGGTCATTGGGATGTATCCTGTTTAATATGGAAAAATGTTTACACTGTTAAATGGAAGAAGGAAGTTACAAAACATGTAATGAGATGTGATTGAAAGATAGTATCATTTGATTGATTAATTGATTGAGAATGGGGTTCATTGTGTTGCCCTGCCTGACTCAAAGTCCTGGACTCAGAGATCTTCCTCATCCTACTGAGTGGCCTGGGACCAGTTTTTTGTTTCTAAAAATGTTTTCTACACCCTAGAAAGAGGTAGAGGCAGGCAGATCTCTGTGAATTCAAGACCAGCTTGGTCTACATAGTGAGTTGCAGGCCACTACATAGTGAGACCCTGTCTCTGAATCTGAATTTCATATGTTGAGATAATTGGGAAAAAGGAATGTAGGTGTAGTGTAGTGTGGGTGTAGTTCAGTGGCATAGTGTGCCCTTGGCATGTGTGAGGCTCTGCGTTTTAATGCCCAACACCAAAAAAAGTTTATGTTTTTAATGTAATTTCTGTTCTCGTATACCTGATAAGGAGAAAATCAGAAATGAAAATAAAGATTTTGTACACAAAGATGTCTGTTACAGGATTATTTATTATAACTTGAGTATAAGTGCCATAGGAGTCACACTTCTTTGTGGAGATGCTGGAAGCCCAGAGTTGATGTTCTGTTTTTTTCTAACCATATGGTATATTATTCCCAAATTCTGGGCCCATTCTTCAATATTCACCTGGAACTGGTTGAAAGAGTTTGAACTTTCACTTGTCACTGGCCTCCTTTCAAAGAAATGAGTTATTCTACCCTTGAGATTTTCAGTGATGGGCTTGTGGATTGGCGCTGTTGACAGGACTTCTTTCTTTGTGGAGTTTGTTCTTGTCACAGCCTATCTCATCATATGTGGCACTCTTTATTCTTTTTCTCATGATTTAGCCTTGTGGTATTGCCTTGTTAGCATGAGAATGCATTTGTCTTTCTGCATTTATGTTTTCAGAGGTGACCTTTTCTTCTCTAGCCCTTCCTTGTCAGAACTCAGTCAGAGGTCAGCTCCCAGCACCTTTCTCTGTCTTGTGGGAGCTGCAGCACAGGAGGCTTTTCCACATCTAGAGAGCAAGGCTGGCCTGACCTCTCACCCTTGTTGTCACACAAGCTGGGTGGGTGGTTGGAGGGACTCCCAGATTTGCTTGTACGTCTTTGACTCAAAGGTGGCTTACACAAACCTTGCCTCCTTTTCACATGTTGTCAAAGTTACCCCTGTAGTAGGGGTCACTGAACTGCCCTGGCCTGTTTCCATAGACCTGCTTAGGCTCTGAGATGCATATCAATTTGTGGTACCTTCTTTCACTTTATGACTCCTTCCATGATTCACACCTGCATCCTCTTCAAACTTAGACAGCTTAGAGCTTGAGCTAGAACTAAGGAAGGCAGTTGAGAGTTTTGTACAGATTGGGCAAGGTCCCAGCACCTACTGCCTGGCCTCCTAGAGTAGTCTTGAGAGCATTGGGATCCCTTCCCCTGAGGTACCTTCTGACATTCCAATGTTATCCTCTGTTGTTCTACCTTGCTCTCTCTGAGGCTCTTAGGTGTCATTGAGGCTAAACTGTCCTGTTAGAAGTACCTCCAGGCTTGACAGCCTGCCTCTCTGGTCCTCAAGTCTTATGGGTCCTGAGGGTCCTAAGAATTTGGTTTTGGTTGTGTTAAAAGGTTGCTCGTTGGCTTGGTATCTGTTGCCTCTGGTGACTGCAGACCATGGTTGGTTCCCTTGTCTGTTGGGGAGTCTGTGTGGCAATTGGCCTCATGACATACATTTGAGATCCACCATGATGCCAAACTTGGAAGTTTCCTTCAGAATTTGGAAGGAGCTAGGCAGAGTGCTGTTCTGGAACCTGGGATTCTTCCCTCCTTTGAGGTGATGGCTTTCTGGGATCTTTCAGGAGCTCTTTTGTTGGTCATCTCCTCACCAACTTCTCAACAGATAGTGGTCCCTAGGACAACTGACTGGGTGTTTGCTTCTACCCCAAGAGTGTCCTGTGAGTGGTAATACAGCTTGTTTCTGCCTATCTTTACTGAAGGGTCTAAATTATACCCAGAAGTTCCCTCCTTGTTAGGGTTTGGGCCTTAAATGACCCCCAAAGGCCATGTGTTGGAGTATTGATCCTTAGCTATGTGCTGTTGGTGGCGGTGAACACTTAGAGGTGAGGCCTAGTAGAAGGCTGACAAGGATACTGGGCCCCCAGCCTTTTCAGACTCTTGCTTTCTCTGCTTCCTGGCTGTGGTGAGGTGAATAGGCTTCCTCTGCCATGCACTTGCCTTGTGCCTCATTACAGACCCAAGAGCAGTGGGGTCAAGTGACCAAAGACTAAAGCCCGAAGCCATGAATTGAAATAAACTTATCTTCCTTATAAGCTTATTTTCTCAGATACTTTGAAGATCTTTTGATAGAAAGCTAACATTCCTTTGGGCTTCATGTTGGTAGGTAAGCCTTTTTAATGTATTGATTTTTTTGTGGCCTTATTCAATTGTTGCTTCTTTTCTCTGCCCAGAAAAATAGAGACTATTAGTCGAAAGTAAAAATCACCCAATATCTTCTTACTTAAAAAATGACTTCTGTGAGCACTTCCTTCCAGTCCTTTCCTCATTATATGTTGTTTGTTGGGTTTTGACCTCCTCTGGCCAAGTGCTCCTTGTCTGTTCATTTTTGCTAATGGGAGCTGGTGTGGGGCTGGTTTTTCACCTGATTATGCCCTCTGCTTGTGTGAGTGTTGCTGGGCACTTCCTGATGGCGTCCACCCTTTACTTCCCATAACTACGTACTTCAAGGCAACTCAGCCATATTAAGCCCTTTATGAGGGTTGGTTGGCACTGACTGGTTGGCACTAGTGAGGTAAGCATATCTGACTCCTACTAAGATTAACATTTAAGGGACTGGAGAGATGGCTCAGCGGTTAAGAGCACTGTCTGCTCTTGCAGAGGACTGGGTTCAATTCCCAGCACCCACATGTTGGCTAACAACCATTCATAACTCCAGTTCTGGGGAATCTGGACGCCTTCTGATCTCCGAGGGCATTGCACGACATGGGTGCACTTATACACATGCAGGCAATACACTCGTACACATAAAATAAGAATAATAATTAAAATATTTTTTAAAAAGATTAATATTTAAGCTGGGCATGGTGGCACGCCTTTAACCCCAGAACTTGGGAGGCAGAGGCAGGCAGATCTCTGTGAGTTCAAGGTCAGCCTGGTCTACATAGTGAGTTCCAGGACAGCTGGGGCTACAGGGAGACCCTGTCTCAAAAAGACCAAAAAGATTAATATTTAAAAGCTGGCAACAGCTGTCCTAGGGAGAGGTGGTTGGACTTGTGACAGTTTGTGGATGATGACTATGGGTAGGGAATGCATTTTTATTTGAAATGGATATACCACTGAACTGAGATTTTCTCAGTTGGTCTTGGTTTGAGCTCCCTGATAGGAAAGGAAAGGAAATGTCCTGTGAATGATAGAGAGGCTGAGCCTGTGCATGGATGTGATGGCTGAGGACACACTGAGGAGGGGTGATTCAGGAAGGGAGTCAGTGGGCCAGGCCACTGTGATCTTTGATGCTCAGGCCCTATAAAACTTTTATCCATACTCTTTGCTGGGGACCAGCTCTCTAGCCAGCATCTCCAGCCCCTTAATTGACAACTCAGTAGCCATGTGGAGCCTAACAATTAGAAAGATGCAGGGATGCCTCTAGCATTCAGGCCCACCTCCAAGCTCTGTTCTATCACATGTGACCTTGGCCTTCACGGTCAAGGCCTCAATCTGAGCTTCCCTCTCAGGCCTGGCTTTCCACATTTGCACCTTGGGACTCAAGTTGCCCACCTCAGAGGGAGAGGCAGTGGACATGATGTAGTTTGGGAGTGTGTGCTGGTTTTCAGTAGAGTAATGAATGTTGATATTAGTGAGTACTGGTGGGAATAGTGATGCTTGTTTATACTGGAAAGGAAGAACCATTTTTTTTTCCCCTCCTGGGAACTGTGGAGTTATGTTTGTTTTTTATATAGTGTCTTGCAATTTTTTTTCTTTATTTAAAGACAGGTCTCACTTTGTAGCTTAGGCTGGAGTAGAACTTAGTATGTGGATCAGGCTAGCCTTAGCATTTCAATCCTTCTGTCTCAGCCTCCTGAATACTGGGATTATATGTGTGCCACCTTGCCCAGCTGTATTTTTTTTTTTTAAGTTTTTCTTGGTAGATCAGAGAATTGCTTTCTGAATTAACTTACATTGATGTTAATATAGTTTTGCGCGCGTGTGCACACGCATGTATGTGTGTGTGTGTGTGTGTGTGTGTGTGTTAATAATACAAAGGAAAGACAAAGTTTCCATTTGTAAATAAAAGGCCAGTTGTCTTGTGTTCACCAGGAACACAGAGACAGGAACTTGGGAAATCTGAGTCTGTATTGGTAGGAAGATATTGCCATGTGTGGGGTCTCTCTCTTCCTATTGTTGGCATTTCTGTTTTCAGGCCCTCTGAACTCTTCTCTGAGGCTCCAGTGGGGAGTTCCTGTGATACAAAGGCTGACATGACTTGGTCAACACCACCCTTCCTGGGACTGCTTGCCTACAAAAGTCTGTTGTGTAGCTTGTTAGTCTCCTGGGAAGTGAAGAGAGCCGCTGCTTTCCTCTGCGTGTAGTAGAACTCTACAGGAGAGAAAGCTTAACTCCTGTGGGTGATAAGGCTAGCCCTCTTTGGGACAGAGTGAGACTCTGCATGCAGTGCAGGCCAGGGCAACAGGGCTCCATCCACTCCCATCAGGGCTTCAGTATGTCTTCTTGTGTTAGTTTTCAAGCAAGGCCAGGTTTACCCTGGGAAACATACTCATTTCTGTTATTGGCACAGGTTGTCCATATCTTGAATTGTCTATCAGTGGTAGCATGCTGTACTTGGTGGTTAATTGTTGGAGGGACTGATCAGACTGATCTTGAGTAGAACAGTGCCATTGTGTCCAGGTCAGGAACAAATCACTTATAGGAGAGAGTTTCTGAAAATTGTCTAGAATTAGGATTCCTGCAGATCTACTACTGTTTTTTCCTTGATTTTAGATGAAATTATAGTCTAATTAAAGTGTTACTTAGCCAGGTGATTTCTAAGATTAGTTGCTTTGGATATGGGAGGGGGCAGTTGTAGTCTATATATCATGGATCTCATCTCCTTAGGCCAGGCTTGGTGTTTAGCTATTCAGTTGATTAGCAGTTGTATGGCACTGACTAGGAGAGGGAACTCAGTAAAAGGAGTCATCAGAGAGTCACTGCTTGATGGTGCATGCCTGAAGGATGCTACTTGGTCTGAGGCAAGGAGGATCACTTGAGCCAAAAAATTTGAGGTCAGCTTGGGGAGTATAGAAAGGCCTTGTCTCTTTAAAAATATTTGTTAAACAACAGGGATGGGAGGGGGGCAGGGGACTGGGAGGTTCCCAACAAGAACAACTGGGTTTGTTTTTTTAATTTTTGTTTTTATTTTATGTGCAGGAGTGTTTTGCCTGCATGTGTATACGTGGAGGCCAGAAGAGGGCACTAGATACCCTGGAATGGAGTCAAGGATAGTTAGCTACCATGTGAATGCAGGTCCTCTGGAAGAGCAGCCAGTGCTCTTAACCACTGAGCCATCACTCCAGCCCCATTGAACAACTGGATTTTAAGAGTACTGTGCATTGTCTGAGTGGGTAGGCTCCAGTACTGACAGGTGTTTTTATCTCAACGTGGCCTTTGTTGCTCTTTAGGCATCCTGTCTCCCCATCCCCCTCACTGTCTAGCCCAGGCTGGCCTAGACTCATGGCAGTCCTCTGGCTTCAGCCTTCCTAGTGTGCTCCACCATACCCAACTTGGCGAGTTTGTATTAACAAGCATTACTGAGCTAGGCTTGCTAGCACATATTTGTGGTTCATGTACTTGGGAGGTGGGTTAGGAAGATGATGAATTTGAGGCTGGCTTGGGCTATATAGCTAGAAACCTGCTCAAAAAACAAAGCGACAGTTGCTTCTGAGGTTTTGGCTAAGTAAAGTTCAATGTAAAGCCTAAACAAAACATGATAAAATTGAAGTGTAGCATACTTAGAGAAGTACTCAGCTCATAGAGTTTAGCTTGATTGTTACAAAGTAAATCCTTAGTCTCAGGATAAGATTCTTGTAGAATCTTCATAAGGAGCCATCTTCCCTGCCTCAGAAATCAGTCTTAGCTATTGTATGAACTTTGTGTAAACAGCCATCCACATGTGTTCCTATATATTTTATGACAGTGGGCTCATTCTGTTTGACTCATTCTGTGAACTTTTCATACAGTGTTATGTGATGACTGCCTGACTTGCCCCAACCTGTCTTTCTTAATGTTCTTCAAAAATGCATGTTGGTCATGACTTGCCAAGTTCCTCTGCATTTAACCATCCCACTGTGAGTGGACATTTAGATTGATTTTATTTCAAATTTTAAGAGTGCTTTTTATGCTATAGCTAATGGCTTTTGAGTACTCTATTTCCTTAAGATAAGTATCTGGGAGAGAGTGGGCTGGGTCAAAGGCCATAGATTTTGCTGGCTGCCTGTGACACATGCTTCAGCTGCTCTATCCCCTTCTCCACAGCTGCTAACCCTTATTACCTGGGTATTGGGCTAGTACTAATCAGACTTTGTTTTATTTTCCAACAGCGCTGTGTAGTGCTGCGTTTTCTGAAATTTCCTCCAAATAGGAAGAAGGTAAGATTGGTGGGTTGGCTGCCCAGTCTTTATAGCCTTTTTTTTAAATTAAAAAAATTAAAAAATATTTTATTTTGTGTATATGAATGTTTTGCCTGTGTGTATGTAAGTGCACCACATGTGTGCTTGGTGCCCAAGGAGGCCAGAAAAGGGCATTGGATCCCATGGAACTAGATCTGCCATATAGGTCTTCTGTAAGAGCAGCCAGTGTTCTTACCTACCTAGCCATCTCTGGCCTGATTACAGCTTTCTTAAAAGAAGATTTAGATTTTTTTCATGGGATGTTTTTAATGTGTGGGTGCACATGTGAGCATGTGCTTATGGAGATCTAGATGTTATCCACATAGTTCTTTGTCAGTGTTTTTGTTTGTTTTGAGACTGGGTGGGTCTCCTGTAGCCAAGGATGACCTTGAACTTTTGATCCTCCTGCCTCCACTTCCAAAGAGCTGAAACAATGGGTATACCACCATGTCCTTAAAATAATTGTATGTGCACAATGTGTGTGTGGGCAGGGTGTGCATGGCATGGTGGACATGTGGAGGTCAGGGACAACTTTTGGGGAGTTTTCGCCTTCCACCTTTACATGGGTCTTGGGAGTTGAACTCGTTTCTTTCAGGCTTGTGTAGCAAGCACCTTTACCCACTGAGCTGTGGTTTTGCTGGCACCACCTTGTTTTTTGAGACAAGAGCTCTCACTAGACTAGGACTCTGGTTAGTCTAGTTTAATTGGCCAGTGAGCATGAGATCCTCCCTAGCTCTGGTATTACAAATGTCACCATTCCTGGATTTTTATTTTATTGATTGATTGATTTTGAGACAGGGTTTCCCTGTAGTCCCAGCTGGCCTGGAACTCACTATGTAGACCAGGCTGACCTTAATTAAACTTATAGAGCTCCAGCTGCCTCTGCCTCCCAAGTGGTGGGATCAAAGATGTGAGCCACCATGACCAGCCCATGCCTGGATTTTTAAAATGTGGGTTATGGGGATTGAATTTAGGTGTTTATGCCTGCATGACAAACACTTTAATGACTGCTGTGTGTGTGTGTGTGTGTGTGTGTGTGTGTGTGTGTGCACATATATATGTATATGTTTCGCAGTGCTAGGAATTTCCCAGGACGAGGAACTGTTCCTTCACTAAGCCAGCTGTTTGTGAGTCAAGTGGGACTAACCTGGCCTGTGAGGGCAAGACCTGCCCTTCACTATTGTGTCTGGTGTATGTGATGATTTATTGTCTCATTAGGGCTTCTGGGACACAGTGAATCAAGTGTTTGAAGGTGGAGGTCATAGGAAACTAGAGGGTATTAGAGGGTAGAGGTGATAAGAGCCCCTGGGGCTGGTTAGCAGGCAGAGGGAAGTAGGACCCAAATGATTGTTTAACCATGCCATCTCAGTGGGCACCCTGTCAGGTCTTCCTGTGTGGACTGACTGGAGCAGTGTCTTCCTGGTGGCATTTGCTGTGCATGGCACAATGTACACAGCTGTGCAGGACTGCTGGGATATGTTTTCAGCTTTTCTGACAGACTGAGTTCTGACATGATCCAGTTGTAGGAGCCATGGGACATCTGCACATTCTTTGGCTGTACAGAGTCCTGCTGGATATGGGTGGTAGCTTCTCCAGGGGTTTGTGGGGTGCAGGTGGCCACTTTGTCCTGGGACCTCTGATACTAGATGTTGGGTGTCTTTATTTCTGTTTTAGACAGGACCCAGTGAGCACAGGCAGACCTGCAGGGGCAGTGAGCTGCCAGGCTAGCCCTTGTTGCGCTCTGGGAATTTTCTCATCTTTAGGATGGATTGAGGGGCCCAGGGATCATTGTGTTCTACCTACTTATTGACTCTTGAAACTTCTGAGGAGAAAACACATTATTCTACATTTAGAGTAAAATCTAAACACCTGATATTCTTTGGTAAGAGGTTTCCCAGGTCAGCTACTCAGAAGTACATGAGATTGCAGGAGGAGGGAAATGAGAGAACAGGTAGGAATGGGAACTGAGGCTGCCGGGGTGCTTTGTGGAGGCCCTGGGGACCTTCTTTCAGGCCCAGGGTCTCTGGTTGGTTGTGGCTCAGATATTGCCTGTCGTGGGCTGGGCTCCTGGGGGTATAGGAGCTACTCATTTTGTCAGAACTGCCTGGAGGTCCATCCTGAGGCTGTCCTGTGCTTATCTCTTCCAGACATCAGAAGAGATACTTCAGCATCTGCAGAATATAGTGGACTTCAGCAAAAATGTCATGAAAGAATTTTTGGGGGAGAACTATGTTCATTGTGGGGTAAGTGATTTTTAGTCACACCTCAATTCATTGACAGTTCTGGACTGACAGTACTGACATCTCAATGATAGCCTTTGTGTAGTGAGAGTCACCAACCACCTACTCCTTCCAGAGGCTCCTATATAGTGAAGGTTCTCCAGTGACTGTCCAGCCATCCTTAGACTTGAAGGGACAACTGTGCCCTGTTTTCCTGTGGGTTAGGGAATGGTGTAGGCCTACACTACTCCTGGAGGTTCCTCGTGGATGTGGGCATGGAAATTAGTTGCTCTGGACTATATCCAGTGAGGCCTTATTTACCCAATTCAGTTTTTGTGTGTGTGTGTGTGTGTGGGGGGGTCTTTTTGAGACAGGCTCTCCCTGTAGCCCCAGCTGGCCTAGAACTCGCTATGTAGACTAGGCTGACCTTGAACTCATAGAGCTCTACCTGCCTCTGCCTCCCGAGTGCTGGAATTAAAGGCGTGTGCCACCACATCTGGCTACCCAATTCAGTTTTAAAAGCTGAGGTTTAGAAGAAACATCTTAAATTCTTGGTATTGCTATCTGTGTTGGGGCTGCTCTCTTTGCAGCTTGCTTGTGGTCTGTGGGTACTGGACAAAGAATGCTGTCTGCCTACCTATCTGACCTGATGAGTTCTGAACCTAGGGCCTTGAAAGCCTCCTCAGTCCTGCCTTTCATTGGCTGCCATCTCTGTAGTCAGTTTCTCCCACACTGTCTAGTATTGGGAGATGCTTGGAGGTCATGAGTGTCCCCTTAGGAAGATTCCTACATTTCTTCCGCAGAGTATGTCCACTGAATGGTATTCATACCAACCCATGTCCTTGAGAAAAGACTGTTTTCAGAGGTATCATCTGCTGGAAATCTGATGCTGGCTTGCTGAGCTGAGAGAGTCTTCTACTCTTGTGGATTTTAGGTCTGTGTTTTGGGAGGCAGGTCTTGGGGCAGCAGTGGTGTTTATTAGTAGGGGTGGTGGGAGTGGATGGGAGTGTTCCAGGAATGGTGGTTTTGGAGATTCTTGAGGGATGATACAGGATTAGGGAGTATCACTGGCAATGCCACTGGATTGGGTTGTCTTTGGTGTGTAGGATCACAATAAAGGAATTTTCAGGGATGGGCGCAGTTTAGGGATGGGCACAGTATATAATGTTTTCTGCTTGTATATTTCCTTTCATTAAGACATTGACAGAGGGATTGGAGAGATGGCTCAGTGGTTAAGACCACTGGCTGCTCTTGCAGAAGATCTGGGTTCGATTTCCTGCACCCACATGGCAGCTAACAGCTGTCCATAACTCCAGTTCCAGGGGATCCAATGCACTTAAATACATGTAGACAATACACTCATATACATTAAATAAAAATAAGTAGGGCCAGGCGTGGTGGTACACGCCTTTAATCCCAGCACTTGGGAGGCAGAGGCAGGCTGATCTCTGTGAGTTTGAGGCCAGCCTGGTCTACATAGTGAGTTCTAGGACAGCTGGGGCTACAGGGAGACCCTGTCTCAAAAAAACAAAACAAAACAAAACTATTTTAAAACAGACATTGGCAGAGTGAACTAGAACTTGCTTTTCCTCAGGTGAGTGTGTCCTGTTCACATGGCAGAAAGAACACCTGTGTTAGTCGATGAGGTGGGGTGGAGTCCTCAACAGGTCCTATTGTCTTGCTTGTCCTGGAGTAAAACAGCCAGCCCTTATGACAAGGTCATAAAACAGAGATGGTGTCAGTTCAGTGTACCCTGGCCTATGCTGAGGGGGTGTAGTATGAGTCTGGGTGTCTCCAGGGGCCTAGAGAGTTTTGGAAACTTTCTTTTTTTATTGTAATAGGATCTGATCTATTCTCCTTGGCAGAGTTGTCCTGATAGTGGTGATTGCTATCCCATCTTGGGCAAATGCCCTCAAGACCAATTAAGGCCAAGCAGGGGGATAACAGGCAGGCCCTGGAATGTGGTGAGGCCAGGCTGAGGCCCAGAGGTAGCCCCTGCCGCTAATGGTAGAACATACCAGAGTGTGACTGGGTCACTGCTACAGGGCTATGAACCCAGACCATAGGAAATACAACACAGTGTCATAGGACACAGAAAATGAAATAGAGGCCCTTGACTCACAAGCACATGGATAACTGGGTACAGATTTGCAGGCCAGAGGGACACTTAACCATGGCTGGGCTAGACATAGATGCAATGGTGGTATCACACACAGACCACAGGAAGATGGTACTATGGAATACATGATGGTCACCATGAACAGACCAGACCCTAGAGCTTGAGGAACAAGAAAGTGACCTTTTGGTACTACTGCACTGGAGTTATGAGAATGGGCAGGTGGTCTGGAGTAGCTGTGGCTCCCTGCTACACGTACTGGGCTTAGTCTCTCTTCCACACTTTGTTGAGCAGCTTCTTCAACTCATCATAAATGATGAACATGATAGGGCAGGCATGAGTCAATACCCTTGTAGAATGCTTTGAGTCGCTTGTTTCTCAGGATCTGCATGCTGCCAGCCAGTGTGTTCTGGTATTTGTGTGCTTCCAGATCCTGTATCCAGGACTTAAATGTTTTAAAAAATTATTTTTAAAATTTTTATGTGTATGAGTGTTTTGCCTTCATAGTAAGTGCACCTGCATCATGCAATGGCTGTGGAGGCCAGAAGAAGGTGTCAGATGATGTTTCTTAGCTGCCATGTGTGTACTAGGAACTGAACCTAGGTCCTCTGCAAGAGTAGCATGTGCTTGCTGGGCGTGGTGGTGCATGCCTTTAATCCCAGCACTTAAGAGGCAGAGACAGGCAGATCTCTGAGAGTTCTAGGCCAGCCTGGTGTACATAGCAAGTTCCAGGCCAGCTGGGGCTACAGGGAGACCCTGTCTCAAAAAGTTGAGACCAAAAAAAAAAAAGAGTAGTATGTGCTTTTAACTACTGAGCCAACTCTCCAGCCCATAAAAGTTTTTTTTTTTGATATTTTTGTGTGTGTATATATGTGCAAATGCTGTGGCACATTTGTAGAGTTCAGAGGACAGCTTGCAGGAGTCATTTCTATATAGGTCCTGGGAATTGAACTCAGGTCATTAGGTTTGGTGGCAAGCACCTTTACCCTCTGACTTATTTGTCTGGCCCATCCATCCAGTTCTTGGTTATATCCAGAGGATCCCTGTGGGTTCAGTGGGTTCATAGGTTTGTTGGGGTTATCCCTCTAATGCCAGTTATGTAGGGAGGTTATAACGAAGAAGTAGATGGCTTGGTTTGAATCCTACTTTAGCACAGTGGCCATGAGGCCTTGGTTTGTCCCCTTCAACCCTTGTTTTTTGACAATCTCCCTAACCTCATGGAAGAACTCTAGGTCCTTGGGGTTGGAGAAAATCTGGTCATGGATGAACTTTACTTTGATAGTCTCCATGGGTCACATGACCACCATGGCCTCTGCCATAACAGTGCCCAGGCCACACAGCAGCCCTCACATGCTGTGAAGCTGAACCTGAGTGTCTAGCATGTGGTTGCTGAGGAACTTGAATGTCCCAAATCTGACAGCTTCCTTGGGGATGGAGCCATAGAGCTGGAAGCTAAGGCTATGATATAGTTCTTAGACACCATGATCTGCCACATGCAGTCCCTGGTGCCTGGTACTGTGGTGGGCGTAAGAGTTCAATCAGCTGTAGCTGCGTCTTTGTATACCTGGTCAGGAACCCAAAGCAGATTTTAATGTTTCCCACCAAGCTGCCTGTGGGGATTGAGCACCCTACCAGATGAACCCAACCCCCATCCCCTACCTAGATTTTATCTATGTTGCTGCCAGCTGTAGGTGTGATAGGAGACTCCCAGCGAGGTCAACAAGGGTCTTCGACCTGGCCCAAGAACTGCTTAAGGTCCTAGTTCTGTGTCCATAGATGCTGCGGGACCAGGATGGGCTCTGGCAGGAGATACTGGTGGTGTGGCTGGTCACAGTCATGGATCCTGGCTAGCTCTGAGGAAAGCCAGCCTCCTTTAGTGCACTGAAGCATCAGTGCCTCTGTTTAACCTCTATATGTTCTGAAAATAATCAACTTTTATTGCCTAAACCCACGCATTGAATTTTTTAAGCTACAATTTTTTTATTGTGATAAAATATACATACTGTGAAAGGCACTGTTTTAACTGTGTTTAGTCATGCATAGTTCTTTGGCATTAACAATCTTCAGGTCATTGTGCAATCTGTGCATTTCCTGTGTTTTCTTACAGGAAGTTGTTCAGCTGCCTTTAGAGTTTGTGAAACAACTGTGTTTAAAGATACAGTGTGAAAGACCAGGTAAGGGTGTCTTAAGCATGTTGCTTGCATTTTACTTTTTATTTTTAGTTTAGTTTTTTTTTTTTTAAAGCTTTTATAATTTTATTAGATTTTAAAGAAAAATCCTTGGGGGGCAGGCAAGCTGGTGATCTTGGCAGCTGCCTTGAGGAGGAGAATGGAGGGGAGAAGGAAAGGAAGCCATGAAGCCATGCAGGGTTACAGGGTCAGACAAAGTGGCTGGGTGGCAGCCAGTATTTTTAGGTCTTTTGAGACAGGGTCTGTCTCTACCCTGACCTGGCCTGGGACTTGCTGTGGAGACCAGACTGGCCTCAGTCTCACAGAGAGTTACCTGCCTCTACCTCCCAAGTGCTTGGATTAAAGGCGCATGCCACCACCACACCTGGCTTATATTTGTAATTTTTTAATTAAAAAAAAATTTTTTTTTAATTTTACTCATTTTTATTTTATGTGTATGAGTATATTGCCTACATGTATGTAAGTGCACCCATGTCATGCAATGCCCAGGAAGGACAGGAGTGGGTGTCAGATCCCCTCGATCTGGAGTTATGGACAGTTGTTAGCCACCATAGGTGCTGGGAATTGAATCCAGGTCCTCTAGAAAAACAGCAAGTGTTTTTAACCCCATCTCTCTCCAACCCCCTATTTGGGAGTTTTTTACTTCAAAATTAAAGTTTGTTACAACCCTAGCACAAAGGAAAAATATATAGTTTGTAAGGCTTATTCTGTAATATGAAGTGGTATTGTATTATAGTTGAAGATAAGACTCTGGTAATTTAAAGTTCAGTCCTGATAACCTTACAGCAACCACTGAAAATTAAATAGTTTATAAGCCAAAAGGAGAGACATAATGAGATGATAAAATACTCAAATATTGGGGCTGGAGAGATGGCTCAGCGGTTAAGAGCACTGAATGTTCTTGCAGAAGACCGGGGTTTGAATCCCAGCACCCACACAGCAGTCAGCTGTCTCTAACTCCAGTGCCAGGGGATCTGATGCCCTCTTCTGACCCCTGCAGACACTGTACGACATGGGTGCACTTCCATACATGTAGACAATACACACATAAAATAAAATAAATAGTAATAAAATACTCAAATATTTCCAAAGAAGCAGAAAAAAAACTAAAACCAAAAAGAAATACAATAAGAAACCTACTTTAGAGGCTAGAGAGATGGCTCAGTAGTTAAGAGCACTTGCTGCTCTTGCAGAGTTTGGTTTCCAGCAGCATCAGTTAACTCCAGCTCCAAAGAATCTGATACCCTTTTCTGACCTCTGCAGGCCCCTGCACACACATAACATTCACTCACACTCACACACACATAAACAAAAATAATAAAAATAGGGACTGGAGAGATGGCTGAGCAATTAAGAACAATTCCTAGCACCCACATGGAGGTTAACAACCATCCGTAACTCTAGTTCCAGGGGAATTTGATACCCTCATCAGACCTCCACAGCCATTGCTCAACATGGGTGCACTTACATACATGAAGGCAATACATTCATACACATAAAATAAAATAAAAATTTTTAACTAATAAAAAAATTTTTTTAAGCATACTTTAAAAGTAGAGTGGTAACAAACCCGTAATCCTACCATGCTGGAAGTAATAAGGCCAGAGGATGCAGAGTTCAAGACTATTCTTGGCTATATATCAAGACTGAGGCTGCCCTGGGGTATAAGAGAACTTATCTCAAAAAAACAAACAAGGCCGGGCATAGTGGTGCACGCCTTTAATCCCAGCGCTCGGGAGGAAGAGGCAGGCGG